GCAGTGTCACGTCTTTGGATACGTCAGCAACTATCCACAGTTAACCATTGTAGACTGCATAACATTTGAATAAGTTTTGTGCTAACTTGTAGTCATAATAACTACTGTTCTCTTTAAGTACGGTTATAATAGCAAATTACTTTGTGTCCACATCGACAGCTGAAGGAATAAATTTTTCACAATTTTTCATTTGTTATAACAGAAAGCAGAAACTTTATGAAACATAAAAACGTGCTTTAAAACGTTAGAAAAATAGATACTTAATAAAATTGTTCTACTCCATATCTTGTCAACCCCTGTATAAGAAATAGGCAAAAACTCTTCTGATGCTGTCGTAAATAAATGAAGATTAAGTCAGATAAGCATCTCGGACAAGCCAAATCATCAGCAGAATGCTAATCTATTGACACGTACTGCATTACAACGTGTCAGCAGTAAGATAGTGAAATGAACAACTCTTTTTAGTAGTGCTCTGCCTCAAAAATCCTGTCATTGAAACTTTGGCAGCGCATTGAGACAATAGTTTTTCTAGCTTCTGCATTCTAACAAGAGAAGTGCTGGTATACACTTTTAGCGAAGATTAGGCACGGTAATTTGACCAAAAGCTAAAGCCTCCGTTTTTGAAGCAGAAAACTCACTCAAAATGACAAAAACCTTTAAACTCTGCCTGGGAACTTTTCGATACCAATTTTTTGTTGGAATTACAAATCTTACTTCAAGTACAACTTCAGTTTCTTCTCGCTGAGAGTACAATTATTTATCTGCATGCAGGAAAGCCGAATTAGACCACTGAACCAACAGATCTGTTAGATGGGCTCTGTTGAAGATTAAGCAGGAATACACAGCGAATAAGAAAGTTATGATAAGAAAGAAACAACTAAAAACTATCAAAAAAAGTTTCTTTTTTTAGAATCAGCCAAAGAACAAAGTGAGAAATATTTTACCATTGCCTTTAATTTTTGTCAACTTATATGGTGATTTTTTTTGTGCACTATCGGTTACTCTAATCATAGGTTTTCTTGAGCTCGTCAGGTGTCTAGGTGTCTAGTGATGTTGTCAG